GGCCCCCCCGGAGAAGGAACAGCTGCCCCGCCGCCACGGGGGCAAGGGGTCGGCCAGGCCGCCCTTCCGAACAAGGGCAAAGCCGCCCTCTGGCTTCCCGCGTCACTCCAGCTCAGGGGCCATTAGCAGGATTCTCAGGGGCTTTTTTTTTTTTTTTTTTGTGTGTGTGTGTTTATGGTGGCATTGCTGATTCTGCTAGAAACACTCATTAACTATCTGCTGCAGTGGAAAGCGGTGTATTCCTGTTGGTAAGGGCACGTCATAGCTCTTGCTTTACAGTATCTTTCTAATTTGGAAATACTGGAATGTTTTCCTGAGGTTCCACTTACACATTTCATAGCCAGGCTGAAATCTGTCTTGCTTTCCATAGTTGCTTCTTCCAGCATGACAGGGTCTCGGCTAGCCCAGTGTCTGCTGGCTGCAGCTAAAGATCAATGTTGTAGTTTAGTTAAGGACTTTTCTGGGTCATGTGCTGGGAGTCAGCAAAAGGAATTGTGTGTCAGCCTTGTTTCCACATCCCTGCCAGGGTAAAGCTTCAAGCATAAGCATAAGGCAGTGTCTGCTGTCATTAGGCAGATGAGAAACTGCATCTTTTTCCTCTAGTGAAAACATACACAAGCTGTTCCAGTAGGAAGTTAGAACTGAATAAGATTTCACTTGAACTGTGTGACAAGAAATGTCAATGTCAGTTAACAGAAGAAGGCCTTTAAGGGTAGGTTTGGATTCCAGGGGCATTCTGCCTGGAAGCTGCCTAAGGGTGACGCTTAGCAGCACTGCACCCCTTTGTAGTTTTTCCGTTTGGCAGGGATGGTGGCAGAGGTCGGAAAAGCCCTGACAAGAAGGGCAGGATGCTCTCTCTGTGGGTGAACTGAGGTCCTAGTCAGAGTGATGGTGGTGGTGCTTCTAGAAGGCTCTGGGCTTTATTGTGTTATTAACTGCTCTGGGCAATCACAGAGTAGGCAGCTGTGAAGTTGGAACTGACCAAAGTGGCGCTGTCTGTTAGTTGCACATGTGAACTGTGTTGGACTTTTATTCAATGTGGAGCATCCTTTGATGATGGAGGCAGAATCTGTCTTCCCTTCTTCACTGCCATTGCCTTCGGAAGGGTGTGTAGTGTGGCAGCAACAAAAGTCTCTCTTGGGCTTGGATGTGGAGTATTTTTGTGGGTGGTCAGAACAAATGTCAGACTTGTTGTACAGGGAGCAAAATTACAGGAGGCAAAGGCCTGGAGGAGGCCTTTGTCTGAGGTATGGTAAGTCAAATATGAGTGAGAGTGACTTAAGATTTTGGGCAGCATTAGGAAGGCCACAGCCATTGGCTCAAGGAAGTATTTATTACCCAGTTTTCTGTACTTTTGAGACCACAAGTTCAATTTAGAGCCCTACAGTATGAGAAAGATGCCAGCATGCTTGTAGGGGTGCAGAGAAGGGCTGCTGGCATTGTTAGGTGTCTGTGGCACGTGGTGTCCGTGGGGAGGCTGAGGGAGCTGTGTGTGTTTAGCCTGAAGAGGAAAGGGATTAAAGGGAGGGGGTCTCACCACTGCTTTTAATGGGAGGTTAGACAGAGGGGGGTGTTAGACTCTTCTCTGCAAAGGGACAGGAGGCAACAGGCAAAAATTACAGTAAAGGGAATTTTAGTGAGAATAAAGGAAAACATTTTCACCCTGGGGGTGACCCTGGATTAGGGTTCCAGAGAAGCAGTGGGGTCTCCATCCACAGAGATATTACAAACTGGGCTGGACATGGGCCTGAGCAACCTGATCTAACTCCTTAGTTATCAAGAGGCTGCACAATGCTGTGCAATGAGTCTTGCCAGCAGAAATGGTTGTATTATCCTCTTCAAGATGAGGAAGCAGTGTTGTTCAGAGTAGAGTGGACTGTCACTAAGAGAAAGCAGTACTTTACCTCTGTGTTTGGCAGTGAAGGAGATGTCTGATGTTAATTTCTATTGCAGGTTAGTGCAGAGATATGAAAGTAACTTTATAAAGCTGCAACGATTGCATTTGAGGTATTGCATCTAACATTACAGGCAAAAGGACAAGTAATATTTTGCAAGGTTGGCGTGTGTGGACAGGACTTTTAAATTTCTTTTATGAGGATTTTGTGTTTAGAGAAAGCCATAAACAAAAACATAATAGATGGGAGGGTATAAGTAATCTTTAAAGCTATATAATCACCTCTGAGTTTTGAAAAATGTTTCTCTGACATAACCCAGGCTCTGTATTGTTCTCTAGCTGGTAGGTGGAACCGCTGAAGAACTTCAGATATAACAATCTGATAAGTATTGTAGTGTTGAGTGCTACTGCTAAATCCTGCTTGGTCTCAAAAGTTGTGTTTCTTGTAGTTGCTGTGGGTGTTTGCTGCCTGACAGGTTCTGGAGTTCATCTCTGGCAGCTGGAATGAGAAAGAACTTTCTCCCACATGCTCACTTTCTCCTGTCCTTCCCCCCCCTAATTCATGCCCACAAACATGAAATCACACGTGAAACCACTGAAGTGCATGTCACTGATGCTGCATACTTCTCTGGAGATAAATCAGCTGCATGTTATTGTCCTCAAGGACAGGATGGGGAGCAAAATGTTGTAAGCCTGAATTAGTGGAACAGGCATGGATCATGGGAGCAAAGTCCTTGTCACAAGATCAGCTTTCTTCGCATTAACAGGGCTTACCTTGAGCAATGTGGGTAGAGGCTGATTTCAAAACAGAAGTTAAAAGGAACATCCTTGCTCTGTCAGAATGAGACAAAAAATTGAGAGCAGGAAAAAGTGAGATGAGTGCTGCTGTAGTAGATGTTTCAACATCTAGTAGCAAACGTGGAGTAAACGTGATCTGCTTTGTAGTTTTTGTTATCACTGGGGTTCTGATGCTTTTGATCTTTTTTTCCCTTGTCCTTTGTGCTGCGTCTTTATTGTGCTCTGGGACTTGGTGTTTCACTACCTGTAAACATCCAGGGACGGTTAAAGATCTCTACAGGAGTGAGAGCTGCTCATTTGGGACCATCTTCTTCCCGAGTTATCGTATGCTTGTGGATAGTGGAAGCCTTCAGCAGGTTTTTATAGCACTGGAGTTGACACTGTGCTGTCTCCTGCTGCAGTAAGTCCTCGGGAGGAGGTTTTGAGTGTGCTGTGTATTGTGTAGAACAAGAAATTAAACTAACCAATACATCTTTCTGAAAATTGAAAATACAGTGTCTCTTGGTATTGGTGACGGTGTCGGCGTTCTGGATCTGCCTAAGTTGGACAGTTTTTAAGGAGATAAAATCTTAGCCTAAGATTGAGCAATTGCACTGTCTCTCACAGTTATAATTGTCAGTATTTCCACTACACAAAAGAAAAGGACTGAAAAAGTCAAGTCAAAGTTTTGCTGGATGGACTGTTGTGTTTCTGATAGGTGCTGTTGGGATGGGGGGAGGGGTAAAGGATATATGGATAAAAAGCATCAGGGAGGGAGTTTGTATGAACAAACAGCATAGGCAGGTCTGTATCTTTTGAGGATTTATTTATCTGCCCCTTTTTTTCCTTTTTATTCATTTTATTAAACAGGAGATGATAGGTGGAAATGAATCCTGTACTGGAGGACCGATACCTATGTCCTACTTAACCTGCCTGACTTATATTCTGGGAGAATGGACTGGTGTGGAGCATATTGAAGATTATCTGAGTTATGCAGTCTACCTTTTATGGGTGCTTTTGCCACTTGCAATAGTTTTTATACTTCCGGGAGGTCTCGTCATCCTCTTCTACACTTCCATCCTTCTCCTTCATATTTATAAAAGGAAGAACGAACTAAAGGAAGCTTATTCCCATGATTTTTGGGCCGGTGGAAAACAAATGTTGGCTACCCTATGGGATGGACATGGAAGAATATGGCATGGTGAGTGAGATCTGACGTTGACAACTGCTGAAGCTCTTATTCCTGGTTTACCTTTCAGGGTTATCAATACAGATCTGGTTGTTGCTGCTGTTGCATGAAATCTAAAATTCAGGCCAAGTTTTTTGTTTTCCATTTTACCAATGACTGCCAGTGCTGCTTGGGAGAAAAAAGCTGTTGAGACTTTTTTTGATGTGTTGTGGTTTAACTCCAGCTGGCAACTAAACCCCACAGAGCCACTCATTCACTCCCCACTGATGGGATGGGGAAGAGAATCAGAAGAGTAAAAGTGAGAGAACTCCTTCTACAAAATGAGATATTTCATCCAGTTAAATATATATGGAATTTTAAAAAATGGTTTAATTTTTTGTGTTTTTTTAACTTTTTATAACTACTCCTAGTTTTCCTCATTCCAGGAGGACCTGACATGTTTGGTATATTAAAAATGAGATCAATTAACTATATTTTTTTCAGAGTCAATATCTGAGGACTGGAAGTTAAATGCCTGTTCCCTGATACCTACTAAGTCAGCACATTTGCATAATTTAATTGCACTTAACCAGTTTTTTACATATAACATCAAATGGTGGCTAAAAGGAACACTTGGTGTCAATTCACTCACTAGCTGCTACTTCAAATTGATTTCAGAGCCTAAAACTGTTACAGAACCCTGCTTTTTAAAATTTTCTTTGTATTTTTGACAACTACTTTTTCTACTAGAATGTCAAACTAAGGGCTCTGTTCCTTGTCCTTTTGCTAGTATTTCTCTTATAAAGACAGACTTAATAAATGATTTGGCTTTTCTTTCAAAGGAAATCATAAGCCTCTTTCAGAACCATTCAGTCTAGATGCAGCTAAAGGAGAAAGAGATATTTAAGAGCAATTTACATAAAGAACAAATCCATCTTGAAAATCATCTCTGTTTGTTCTCCAGTCAAAGGGAGGCAGGTTTTCAAGGCATCGATAACCAGATGGTGCAGCGGCTGTATCAGATAGGCTTTGTAAGACCAAGATATAACTTTCAAATCTAGGCAAGTACACTAGATCAAAATCAACAGCTACATCAAAGAGCTTAAAATGCTCACTTCACAATAAAAAGCTATTTACTTTTTTTCATAAGAAAATGATTTTTTAAGGCCTTGGCTCTTGTCATACTTAGTAACTTTTTATAAGGTCTGACTTTTTTTTTGTGCAGGAAAGATTCTTACCCTGTCTCTCATTGGCAGTTGTGACTATTTTCTGCCCTGCCAAGTGTCTCTATGCACTTCTTTTGCTGAAGAATGAAATGTTTCTCAATTATTTTTTACCTCTGCTTCATTAATTAATACATCGTAAGAAGAACTTTCCGTCCTGAATTTCACAGCATCAGAAAAACAGAACAAAACAAAAAACAACTCTGCAACCAAAAAGCCCCAAAGCCAAAACTGGTGTGGGATGCCTGTAATCACATATATTATGCAAATGCTAGATGTGGCTATCATGACTGACTAGCATGGAGCACTGTTAGTGGTCACTTGGGGGGGTACAGATGATATGCTTGCAATATATTGCAGCTCCACAGGTATAGAAAGTAAAATAGAGGAAGAAGAGCCAGAAGTGCTTGGAAAAAAGTACTCTAAATATGTCTGAATGTGAAAAAAAAAAAAAGGAAAGTGAATTGCAGACCTGATTAACTTTGTAAAAAGTGACAGGGTTTGGGCTTGGGGTTTATTTTCATAAATAATGAAATAACAAAGATACGATTCATACCCTGCAAATCTTAAGCAGTTACTGGTGTCAATGAACGTTAAATAAATAATTAACAGCTTGAAATAGTTGGGTTTCACCCCTCCTATCCAATCCTTGTTTTGATTTCTCTTGAATGATTGACTCAGGATTCTGCAGCCTTGAAAACAGTAAACTGAAAAAAATAAGGAAAAATTATATAGGTCAAGACAGTGAGACTGGGTGTTATGTTTTCAGGTTTGTTTTTTTTTTAATTTTTCTTTTTTTCCCCTCTCATTTCTTTAAGTGCAGCTCTACTGCTTTAAATACAACTTGTATTTCCTGTGAAAGTAACTTAGTAAATGCTGCAAGTCTTAATTTTGTAGCAGTCCTTTTGCTCTTACCACTTCTCAATAGCCATAGGTTTCTGTTTGCCAGCTTGCCACAAGTTAGTTTCTGTGGGATAGGACTGTCTCAAACTTTGACATCTTTTATGCCTTTAACTCCTAACAGGTTATGAACTTCATGGAGCTGAAAATATTCCTAAAGGACCAGGGCTTATTGTGTTTTATCATGGAGCTACTCCTGCTGACTATATCTATTTCATGGCTAGACTTCTTATACAGAGGAAGAGATACTGCCACGTAGTAGCTGATCATTTCGTCTTTAGATTACCAGGTAACATACTTCATTATAAACTATGAGTTTGAGAACTCTAATTGATTTTATTTTTTTTATAGCATAGCTAATAAAAATTGTGCCACAGGAAGACAGCTCTGAGAGCAGACATTCAGACAAATTTAGTGAAAGTGTTGATGTATAGCTGTCTCTAACGTGTTCTTTACAAACAAGAATGAGTTTGTAATACTGGTCCATGCAAGGATGGGTCATACTCCTGTGTGGGAAATACCTTCCAAAGACTCTAGGGTGTTTAGAAACAAAGAGAGAGTTCACAGGATAAACAGTTGTCTCTGTATTAATTGGACTGTTGGGGCTGCTTCCAGGCACCAAAGCACAATTCATTTCTCCAGACACATGTTTTTTGTCCCCAAAACACACTAAGGAATAATATACTGCTCCCCTCCCCAGGTCTGTAGTCCATGACAGTCTCTGCTCCTAAGGAACAAGTGACAGGACAAGAGGAAATGGCCTCAAGTTGCACCAGGAGAGGTTTAGGTTGGCTATTAGGAACTACTGCTTAAGGGCTATACTTGGCCTCAATCCACAGTCCTCCTTGGTGTCCTTGTCAACACAGACCACCAGATCCTCACCCAGCCTCTGTGTCTGCTCAGGCCACCAGATGTTTGTTGGCAGTGATGAGCTTTGCCACTGTGCAAAAAATTGTTTTTCAACTGTTTCCTGCTTTCAACAGACATGGTTTGGCAGTGGACTTTGTAGAGTTAGGCTCATGGTTGGACACGATGATCTTAAAGGTCTTTTCCAACTTAAACTTCCTCTGATACTTTAAGATGTTTCTTTTTTTTATTAATATAGGCAGAATGAGTGGTGTAACCTGATTAAGAAATTAAGTGTTTGGAAGCAGTGCTCTTAACTTGACAGTACTAGTCTGGAGAGATGATATATTTTTGTATCCCACCTAGCTGAGTATGGTGGGCAGTAGAACCTGTCCCCAAGAAACCTGTTGCAGGTAGAATCTTTTTTGGAAGAAAGCTGTAGCAGTGTTCAAGGTTGCGTGAAAAAAGAGGTGAAGCGTGCAAAAAAATGAAAAAATAAATTTAGGGCAAGTTTTTGGCTGTGCAGCTTGGTGAAAAATGCTACTGCTTAGTGAAATTAATTAGCATGAGGGGTTTGGGGTTTGTGTATGTGAATTAGAGTAGTACCCTGTTTGTATCCCAAGTTCAGTTTGTGGCTAAAAGCCTTGTAATTAATTTTGTGAATATCCAGGAGTGTTCTCTAATGCAGTGATGCTTTCAGTGGAAACAACTCATATCAGAAAACTGTCCTTTTGCCAGTGTAGTTTTATTTTGGCCTTAATCCCTGAAAACTGAACTTTTTCATGCTGATAAAAACATGGTGCTGCCTCTATATTGCTTCTGCCCACAAATTGGGATTTGTCAGTTGATTATCTTATCTTCTGCATAGAGCTGACTAATATAACCTGTTTTGTAATTTAGATTTGGCTCCATACTATATCTGTTAATACTTGTTATGCACAGTTGTTTATCAAATGGGAGATTATTTTGTTTTTCTCCATTTCTGCTTTAAAATAAGATTCTAAGTGCAAGTATACTTATGAGTCCCCCAAATATCATTTAGTGGCATCGCAGAGACATCTGGCTGAACAGTTGGTCTCAGAGAACTGGGTTCAGCAGTATAATGTCTAGCTAACAGCTGGTTTCTGCAGGCATTCCTCAGGGATTCATACTGGGACCAGTGCTGCTTAATCTTTTTATTTCACACCTGGATGAGTGGTTGGAGCCTGCTCACAGGAAGATCACTGAGGATACCAAACTGGAGGAGCACTCAGGACTCTGGGGGTTAGACCTGGTCTTGAGAGTGCCTTCACAGAAAGGAACTGGCAGAAACGTCACTAAGTTCACCAAAAACAAATGTGGAGTTCTGCATCGGGGATGGAGCAGTCCCATGTGACAGGACCCTGGGTAGAAGGTGGCTTTGCAGGAAAAGACTTTGGCTTTCTAGCAGACAACAAGTGAGTCAGCAGCGTGCCCTCGCAGGAAAGAAGATGAGCTGCATGCTGAGCTTTTTTTGGCATGAGTGTAGCCAGCAGATTGAGTGAAGAGGTTTTTCTCCATTGGCTTGGCACCCGTGCAAGCACATATTGCAGAATGGAGTTCCAGTTTGGACTCCCTGGCACAAGACACTGACTTGAGTTTGTTGAGTGGATGGTTTGAGGCTGCAGCACACAATGTAGGAGGAGAGGCTGGGAGAACTGGACTTGCCTGATCTGTACCAGGTAAGGGTGGGGGAAGATATTACTGCTGCGTTTGGAGACCTAACGGGAGGGTGCAGAGAAGGGAGTCAAGCTCTTCTCATGGGTGCACAGCTGTACAATGGGAAGCAACAGAGACAAGTTGCAACATAAGATATGTTGATTAGATGTGTGGAAAGGTATTTTACCATCAGGGTGAGCACACACCAAAACAGATTGCCTAGACAAGTTGGAGAATCTCCATCCCTGGTGACTTTCAAAACTCTGTTGGGTGAGGTTCTGAACAGCCTAATCTAGCTGGACTCGCCTTGAGCGGGAGATTGGACTAGATGACCTTCAGAGGTCTCCTCCAACCTACATAACTCTCTGGTTCTGTGAATGAATTATGGTTATTCAGGGAAGGCGAGCCCATAGAACCCAGATAATGTTCTGGATGGTGTTTCAAAATCTTATTTTATCCTAGTACTAAGGCTGCCTGATCTTGATTAACTCCTCAGGTTACAATGGTTGCCCTTTCAGAAGATGTGCGTCTCTTTCACATCAGTGCAACAGGAAATTATTTCATTGTCTCAATTTAAACTCAATACTATGTATGCTTCTGTTTCTGGTATTTTGAGGCAGAAAGATAGGAAATATGGTCCTGTGGCTTCTCTTTTTTTCCTTTTATTAGATTTATGGAGATTAGTCACAGAAAAAAAGTAAAGCAAACCCCTCCAATGATTTCTGGTTCTTTTAGATTCTCAGCTGTGTAATGCTTAGGAATACAGTGGTTTCTCTAAGGCTGGATTAAGAGAAAATGCTTTCACAAAGAGTTCAATGAGGGCTGAGATGTTGTGGAAAATGGGTGAAGAACATGCTGGGGCAAAAGCACAGTCCAGACTGAATTGGGAGATAAAATTAATTTTTGACTTTTTGGTATTTGAAAAAATTAGCATCCCTTCATGCTCTGCAAGGCTGAAAAACTGTGCTTAGATAATTTTGAGAGTCCTTTTGTTGTTTCAAGTGGAAAAACTTGATCATGTTCATGAAGTAGCCAGGTCCTACCACAGTGTTTCTGCTGACTCCATGATGAGCTTTGCCTTCATGCACAGAGTACCTTGGCCAACCCTTGAGGGCCACTGCACTAGCTGCTGTCTCTCTGCAGCTCTGATGGAGCCAGGCTCTTTCCTTTTGCTAGGGGAGCAGAGCTATTGATAGTAATTGTGGTCTGCTCGTTTGGCTTTGAGGGAGTTTAAACTGCAAGGTTTATACTAAAAGTCAAGGGGGAAATATGGCTGAGAAGCTGTGTGAAAACTTGAAATCCCACCCCAGCACTATACTGTATAACAACTTTTTGCCTGTATTTTGTCTATATTCATTCTCTTTTTTTTGATCTATGAATAGAACAGACTCATGGTGTTGCTCTATTACATACCCCCACCTCTTCCCTGGCATATGCACTGCAGAGAGAAAAACTCTCTTCACAGCTTCTGCTTCCTTGGAATCTCTTTTCTTGCTCAGCTCAACCCTTCTCATGACTGTTTGTCTCTCTCCTGAACTCACTGACAGAAAAGGCTTAGAGACAGGCAGCTTCATACCACCAGGTACATTCCTGAGAGCTTTTCTTAGTTTGGGCATGTAAAAAGTTGTAAAAAACAGCTATTGAAGATCTCACAAACAAAGCAACTGAGAGAAATTAAATTACTTCAGGAAAACTCTATTTCAGGTGTCCTCTGTGGAGATACTACTAGATAAAGATTGCTTGTGTCATCAGCAGTGTGCGAGGCAGGCACAGCAGGGTATGAGATGGGTGTAATGGGGCTTGTGTTCTCTTCTCATGTTTATGGACAGTTCCCACTTGTGTATAGATATAAATTGAGAGTAATTATACTCACACCAGCTACAAAGACTAGTTCAAGATCAGAGTTTAGTTAAGAATAACCTAATGATAGATAACCTAATGATAGATTGCCTCATGCTTTCCTTCCCAAGCCTTTAGTTTATGAAGGCTCTAAGAGAAGACGGATCTCGCTCTGGAGACTTGGACTCTTCTTCACTGTGTGTCTATGTAACAAATATGTGTTCCTAGTAGCAACTATTCATTTGTTAACTTGAGATTAGATCTGTTATTGAGCAGCAAACTGAACTACACCAGTTCTGCATCCTTGCCTGTGGCTGGTATCTGCCTCACTGGGAAACTTTGTGAAAGAGAAGTAATCTTTCCCATGCTGCTCAGTCATCTAAAGTTCATCTTTTGGGATGCAGTACTCATAATACTGTATAGATTTTAAATGTATTGAATGAAGTGAAGATGACTGATTTCTGCAAACAGAGGTTTATACTAGTTATGTTCTTTCACATTAGACTAGTTGTCTAAATTGACCAGGTATGTGCCCATTAGGTGCTTGTAAGCAAATTTTTGATGTTCTGCCGTTGCTTAAGTAGTATGGTCAGTACGACATTTCAAATTCCAGATGATATCAGTTTATGTAATCTTACAGTTAAAAACTTCAGTAAATAAAAATCTTAACCTAAGATGCATGTACCCAATCCAGCCTTACCAGGTGCCTCTGTGTTCACACACAGGCACACACATCTGGCTACTCACAGACCAAACCAGGGAGTCAATTCCTGCACTGATCTGTAACACAGACAGTGCTGCATTTTCTTTGTCATTCCCCTTCTTGTGCGCAGACCGCCCTTTGTTTGCCAGAGTTAACAAACCAAAAAACCACAATAACTTGCTGGTATTTTCTCCTCTTGCACTTTATTAGGCCTGTGCTACATTTGAAAAGTAGAGCTTGGGCAAGGAGCCACTGCCCTCGTGGTGACTCCACAACTTGTTTGAAAAGACACCTGAAAGATGTCACAGAGTGCTTGCCACTTTTCTCCAGTTTAGTCCTGACTGCAAAGTAGCACCTGACTTTACTAAGGCAAAGACACTGAAAACCCTAAATCTTCAACTTTTTAGACCAGAATTTATAAGCAGGACTTGATGCTTCCGTCCCTTTGGAAACATCTTTGATTTTGGGTTACAGGTTATTAGAAAACTGTTTTAGCCATGGTGTTCTGTGATGGGAATCTGTACCCAGAGGTAGTACGGAGCAACCTTTTCTGAATGAATATTATCTCACCCTACAGGTTTTAAAATACTACTTGAGGCACATGGAGTTATGCATGGACCAAAAGAAGAATGTGTCAGCGCTCTGAAGAAGGGCTGTCTGTTAGCCATTGCCCCAGGGGGAGTTCGGGAAGCACTCTTTAGTGATGAAATGTATACTATTATCTGGGGCAATCGGAAGGGCTTTGCTCAGGTGGCCATTGATGCAAAAGTGGTAAGTATGAGAGATCAAAGGAGAAGCAAAGAATGCTCACTTACTGGTGCTTTCTTCCAGGGAAAATTGTTTTGATTATCATATATTTGGTGATACATTGCTGAGTGTTGTGAGTATGGTCTACCTGCTCTCCTAAGTACATTTCAAGGCTCTTTTTGTTGCTTTCCATAAGAAGGCTTTTGAGTCACCTAAAGAACAGTGGTGTCAGAAAATCCAGAATTTAAAGGAATGAGAGGTGAAATCCAGGATGGTTTCTACATCACAAGCTTGTGCTGTTTTACACATACCTGATTGGGATTGTGGTGGCTGAGTTGTGCAATTGCCTGACCAGAATGGTTGGGAAGCAACCATACATCAGTATTTTTGTTTCCCCTGTCGCTGAAGTGTATTGTGACCCAGCACAGTATAGACTTGCTGGTGTTGTGTCCTATACTGGCACTTTTTGATAGTAAGGAAGGTCCAGGGCATACAGCAGCAGATGCTGTTCACTAGCTCTGCAACTCTAATACATAGCACTGTGCCTGGTCTGCAGGCAGATAATTATTCATATGGGACCAACCACGAAAGGCACATAAGTGTATGATGTATTTGAAGTGTAACTATTTTAATAATCATTTCAGATTCCTTCTCATTCTGTGTTTATACTTGAAAGATGTGTGCATATGTTCATAGGTCTGCATATACCTAATTTAGAAGTAAGTCTCACACCAGGAGTTTTCTATTTAGGTACTGCCAAAGAAAGACTAGTTAAATCTCTGGATTTTATACAGAAATAGAATACTTTTAAGCGTGAGTGTCACTTTTCTCAGGAGGAAAATAACACTAAGCAGGATATTTTCATCAGATTTAGGTTTTACTAATGTATTGTAACAGCAGCTGAAGCCCAAGTATGGCCTTAAATATATGGTTGTACTTGTTATATTTATTTTATTCAATGTGTGTTCACTTCCTTTTATGCACTCACAAAGGTTTTGCAGCTTCATTCCCCCCCTAAAAAAATCTCTGAGAGTTGCAGTGGAATAGGAATAGTGTCAAAGGCAGGCTGAAAATAAGGAAGATATTTCTATTTAGATTAAAGATGAACTTTAAGTAGCCTTTAATCATGAGCATAACTCCTCATGGAAAGAAAAACGTGTCTAAAATATCAGAAAAATGTGTCTAAAACTGGGACCTTTAACTTCTTGAAGTTGTCTCATTTCATTTGTTTGCTAGAATTCCTGTCATTTAAACCAGCTTGGTACATACAAAAATCTCTACCTGTGTCAAAAGTAAGATTTTCCAAATAACATGTCTCTGGAATAAAGAAGTTTATTATCATTCAGTTTAGACATTCTTCATAGTTGCATTGGATTATTTACAGACTTCCCCCATCCGCCTCCCCCCAAAAAACAACTTGATACCTGCCTGAAAAGTTTCATTTACTAGCTCATCTCCATGGTTGCTTAAAAAGCTTGAAAGAATCTGAATGTTTGAAAATCCCATAAGAGTTCTGTATTTCAGATGATGCTATGTACAGTGAGTGCCTACTATAAAGTGATATTAAAAAACTTCATGTAGTACTCAGCCCCCTCCTGGTTCTTGTAAATCCCAACAGCTGTTTGCAAGTTCAAAAATATCAATAAAAACTTGAAAAATTCAACACCGTTCCAAATACTCATCAGGAGAAGTAAATCATGGACATGTATTGGGTGTGACACATCACGTGTGAAGCAATACCATCAGCATAGCAGAGAGGAATTGGACAGGTTTGGGGTCCCAGTCTTGTGAATTCTTCCTTTTTAAGCGTAACTAGAAATTAGAGAAGAGGCTTAACCACTTAATGCAAATACTGGTAGGTGAGGGGAAGCCCAAATGCTCCATAGGTTCTGAAATCCTGGACTGCTTTAAGAAAATGCTGAAACACTGACTTGCTGAAATCTCTTGGTATTGTCCGGATTGAAACCTCATGGCAGAAGGTTGCAGAAGAATTTAATAATACTTGTTTTGCTCTCTATATGTTCTTGTCTGAGAAACATTTCTGAAATTAATTTGCTTGTTGGGTGTAAGTGAGGTAGAAGCTTGTAGATAGTGCTGTCTTCATTAAATTCTTAATGATTTTTTTTCTCTCCTAGCCCATCATTCCTATGTTTACACAAAATGTTCGAGAAGGCGTTAGGACATTAGGAGGAATAAGTAAGATATTTTCTATTTTTTTGGTAGTTTATTTTTCCATATGTGTTTAGCCTATCTCTGTAGAAATAATCCCCGTGTAAATTTGAGATGTAACACAACCTTGTTTCTGGAGGTTTGCTCCCAATAGTGTTCAGAGATGTTATTAGGATTTAATGCCAGCATTAGTTGTGGTATTGGCTCACCTAAGTTATTCCCCACATTACAGTGTGCCTTCACAGGAACAGCAGAAGAAAGGAGAAAGGAGACAGAAAAAGGCAAATAGATTTAGAGCACTTTTATATCTGCTAAGCCAATGTTAGGTTTTCTGCTGTCTGTTTAGAAGCAGACCAAATAGGGGTTTGCAGCTGACATAATTTCTTTAAATGTCCTCCTAAAGCTCTGTGCTTACACATCAACCTGTATTTAGATAATGTGTTTAATCTGCAGTTGGTTTACTATTCAGCACTAGGCCTGTGGTTCCTGACAAAACCTCGTATTTGCCTGCTCTCTTTCCTCACCTCTATGGGGCTTCCAGCCAGCACACTGATTTATGGATATATATCTGGAGGGTCCACCTCTGGGGTGATCAGATGCCCACATCTCTGTTGATTTAATATTAAATCCCCTGGTTTTATATTCTACAACTTACTATCTAGCAGAAGTGGCCTGAACAGTCTCCTCCATGCCATGCCTCATGCTCTCTCTCCCTCAAGTATGACAACATCATTTTCTTCAGAGGACTGCAGAGCAAACCAATTCTGTTTCCCTCCTGCTCTAATTAAAATCTGTATATTGCATGGAGAAAGCCAAGGCATCCGAGGTAGATGTGCAGAATAATTCACACGTCCATCAGGTTGTACAAAAATAAACAGCAATTAATTGTTGCTGTGTTCAGGAGAATCTCAAACAAGCAGAAATTGAATCCCAAATCATTCATGCTACTTATATTCTACAGCAGAACTGCCAGAAGAATTGACTTCTGTCGCTCACTGGAAGTTTTACTCTGGTTTCAGTAGTTTTGGAATATTCTTTGTTCTTAGAGGTTGCGTACAGAAAATTCCACATCTTACATCAGTAAGAATTTTCTTTTGCCAACACCTCAGCTGAAGGAATTTCTTGTCTAAAATTGAGAGGGGGAACTTTAAAACCCATTACGGAAGGAATTTGTTCTGGTTGCATTTGGGCTAGGTGCTTAGAAAGTGGCATGTGGGGAAGATGGTTGTCCTTTTAGAGATGACAGAAACTGGGTTTTTCTTTTTTCTTTTTTTTTTTTTCTTATATTTCACTGCAACCAGTGTGTGATCTAAAAGAGCAATTTTTCTGCTCTTCCTTCTCTTTGCAGCTACTCTTTGGAGGAGAGATTTCATGCCAAGTTAGGGTGGACACAAGTCCACTGTCGTTAACACAGCTTTTAGGAAATGAAAGTCAAGGGCAGGATAGCATTTGACATTACATGTAGTTTGAGAATTTGGATCAGGGGCTGCATTACATGACAAGCCAGTTTCAGTTTTAAGACATACTGTGAAAAAAACTTTACAGAATAATCTCAGACTCCTTTTTTCCTCTCTCCCCCCTCCCCACCCTCCCTTTTCTGCTGCTTTTCCTCTTCCCCCTAATTTTTTTCACATTAGAAATACTTAGGTCACTGTATGAACGAATCAGATTGCCAATAGTTCCTCTGTATGGTGGATTTCCAGTGAAGCTTCGTACATTTCTTGGAGAACCCATTCCATACGATCCAAATGTAACTGCTGAGGAGCTGACTGCAAAGGTACAATAGATATGCATATATATATATATTTAAAATATTGACTGTTCTGATAAAAAACAGTGGAATGTTCTTGCCAAGTGATTTCTGCCTTGGAGTTAGTTATAGAAGTTGGTGGAAACATGGTAAGCTTTGGACTTGCTTAACTCTGAATGCTCTTCTCTATTGACGTCTTGTTATTACTACACCTTGCAGATGTTCTAGGCCTTTTAAAATGCTGCACCCTGTATTTGCTTTGAGGAACAAGGTGCTTTAGGGACTGAAGAAGTTCAGCCAGATAAGACTGCTCGGGGTTGAGAAAGACATAAGCACTTCACCCAGAGAAAGAGTTCTGGTTCTTGGTCTTTTCAGAAGGTTATTAATGGAGTCTTTCAGATGGAGTCTTTCAAATATAGCAAATCTGTGTTCACAAGCTGTTGAAATTCCATACAATTAAAAAAAATGAAGATAAATAATTTCATTGCTTTGTACAGTGTGTTTCCATTTCTGTTTCCTCCAACTTCTCACCTGACAAATGAACTTTTGAATGTTCCCTTAGTTCAGATTTAGGGGTTTTATAGCAAGGATTGTCAGGTCCTCATGTTTGTTCAGTTTCTTAATAGATTTTGCAGTGCAGAGACATAAACCAGTTAAATGATGGAGCAGTCAGATGGAGGAGGCTGAAATAGCCTTTTTTGAAAGCTTTGCTTTTAGCATTCTGAAAAATTCACTTGAGAGATTTTTCTTCTTGACCACACAGGTGTCAGTTCAGTTGATTCTCCTCATCTGTTCACCCTCTGACTAGATCTCTGCAAAATGACATCGTACAATGTTCACCTGCCTGATCTAATGCCATGGTTATGGCAAATTGATTGTTTCTTTTTCAGTGTTATACCAAGAACCAGTTTTCCCCTTGCTGACCACTGGTATACAAAGGCAAATAGTTCTCTGTTCTGTCTCTGGCCTTGAGAATTCAGCAGTCTGTGCTTCTCTAGTCTGTGTTATGACAGATCCTCACTGTAGCTTTTGCATATTGCCCTGGTTTTGAACATTCCCACAGAGCTTTTATGTAATAAGAATGGCTGCCATTAACTCCTTGGCCTGCCATATTTTTGAGTGAAGGTGAATGCTGAGCCTAGAAATTGTGTTAACTAATGTGTGGACAATATAAATTTTGAATGTTCCCCTAGTTCAGATTTAGGTGTTTTGTAGATGATGACTTAATCTGACCAAAAATTTTTCTCTTTC